AAAAAAAAAAAAAAAAAACACTAGCTTAAACCTAAACAACAGCCTTTTTAAGTGACATGACTTATTTTGGGAGTTCTGGGACTGCTTTGGCGTCATTCTGATTCATAATTTATGATTATTCAACAATTTTGAACTTTTCTAGAATCTAATGCTCCTGCTGAGTTATTTGCTGGAACGCGACTAAGAGGTTAACTTAATTTGTACACCTTTTTATACAGCGTAGGAAAACGCAAAAAATTCAACAAGCAGCAGGTAGCCACAACTGTGGCAAGCAAAACAATAGCAAGTTTTTTACAAATACTTGATCTAAATTAAATATAAAGTGAAAAACAAATTAGTCAATAAAGCAAAGAACTAACCTACCTGCATCTACAAATAGTATATTTTCAAAAAGACCAGCGGAGTACCCCACTAACGGTTTTCACTTTATGTTAAGAACACACTCGGCGGAACCTACAAACAGAAAAAAACCCCTCATCGACAACAAACTGAATTTTTAACTAAAAAAGTAACAAAAATAGTAATCAAGGAAACCAGTCCCAACGTCACATTTCTGCATATATTTCAAACTGAGCTCCAAAAATTAACACAAGACGGCTACAAACAATTAGCTATCATTCTGAGAAAAGAAGTGGTTTCGAAAGATTAGCAGGTTCCAAAAAATAAACCAGGCGAGCACCGCCCAATTTTAAACTTAAGCCAGCATTCTTATAAATTGCTACCGAATCGCATCACTGAGATTTCGGTTCCACCGAGAGGAAATTTTTACACCACATTAGAAATGAATCCGCCTACACATAACAACCTCGTAAGCAGTTTGTAAGATTTTAGTGCTGAAAATACGGCGACGGTATTTTCAGTGAGTGATAACAGTCCTATCGCTTTATTTCATTAGCAGCTGGCAAAACATCTCCCAAAATTAAATTACCACACCGTTTCATTCTCGACCACACAGCGGTAAATGGAGTCCACTTTCAGCAACCCCAACAGTTTCTTTCATTTTTGCACAAACGATGACTTATAGCACTTTTAGCAAACGCATTGAATTGCCGATGGCAACTTGCCATTCCTACTGATTTTTCATATCATTCCCGTGTACAAATTTCAGATGAGTTTTTCAATGCTCGTCACGGAGTGAAACCAGAGGATACTCATAAGTGCATTCAACTGCCTATTGCTTATCCCTCAATAAACAGATTTCCTCTCCTTTCTAAATACTTGTTCCTCACAGCTGCTCGTTACTTCAGCATAACAAGCGTCATGATCTGAGACCTCAGTCACTACTGAAGGCGACGTTTCCTATTATTTACCTTCAAATTCGTAATACTTCAACTATTAGAAACTTCTCTCAGAAATGCCTGTAACTATATACCAGCTCACCGCGAACGCAACACCAAGGAAGACCAAAGACTACTGGTTGATGGAGTTTTTAATCTCCCACGGGAGCAAGTAGGCATCAATTCAAACTTTCATCAGGTCATCATGGTAAGATAAGTCAACGACGTCTTGGTGAAGGATCTACGGCTAGAAAACACAAACTGCCAGAATCAAAATTCAGAAGGGTTTTTATGGCACTGTATAAGGAGAACCTAAAAAGTTACGTCGCCACATTGAATAGAAACGGACGCACGCTACAGACCACTCCAATGCGCTTACCATGAAACCTTCAAAGAACTTGATACAGTAACATATGACGACTTAAGAAGTAGTTTATTCATATCCTCAATTATTAATAAATAATGATTGGCCCAAACTGGACAGCATCAATTACTACAGTAATTTGACTGGTTAAACAACAGATTCAATGGAATCAAGTCCTTTACTCACAGTGAGTAGAAACACTAGCACACTAATAAACCAGTATTCATACAAACTGTCCCTGAGAGGTAAATATCCTAAAGGAGTGGACAATAATGAAAGCAAAAGAAATTGTAAGATATATCACCGTATCTACTAATACACGTAACATATACAAAAACAGCACAAATGGCGTCGCATTTCAACAGAAGACGAGGTATTCGATTAAAAAAAAATTCATCAAAGGAATTCAAAAGCAATAGACGTTAATCAAAAAACGAGATTATTTACTACCCAGCAGGCGTCTGACATAGCTTCGTAAATGCAAGTGTCTTACAAATATCTGATATGAACCGTACATACTTCCCGTCATTCCCTTTCAGATTCCTATTCGTTATCATGACCATATAAACGCTTGCTTCAACCAGTGACACCAAATAGCTCTAAAAGAAAAATAGTAACCTCCAAGAACCGCACCGCAAAACCTTTCAGGCAACATAGTCTATTTTCAACTTTAGTCCACAGGAAAAGTAAAAAAATAAAGTCCTAAAATTACTTTGCGTAGAATAAAGTTAAGAATACTTTAGAAAGAAACACAGTGTTACTTTTGATTAGCATATAAAAGTGAATGAACTGTAATAAAAATTGCCCTCCACACTAATTTTTTAGTGACTTGGTTTTGGTCAGAACTATTGTTTTCATGTTATTCTCCCCCTTGATGCCATTTCGCAACATAATTTAAAAACTTAAAACCAACATGAACTGCACTTTCATCATGAACTGCCAAAACTTCTCTTTTCAGCAATTTCCTTTCAACGATTATATTCAGAGCAACTGGGAGCAGTCGGAACAGCTGTTTGCGATCCCCTCCAAAACAGTACAAAACTCTGAATTTACTGTTTTCATCGCAGATTGGAGATGCTAACCTTGACCACACACCATCAGCATCTGAAAACAAACCAATAAATTCCGCAATTAATTTCTAGTATTGGAGATGCCGCTTGAGAAGAATGCTGAACTGTATTTGATCTTTATCACCAAATTTGGTTTTTCAAACTAACCTTTATTGAAGTCTCCAAAACCTGGCACACTCGAAAGGAAAGTTATGTATAACGCATCGTGTTTACGGTAAAAAGAAGAAAATAGTTGGAAAAAGTTAGGTTGTCCGATATCATTAATAGCCTGTTCAAAATCTCCTCTTGGACAATAAGGAGACAAGTTGTAATAGAAATATAAAGAGAATTTGGCAAAAAGTACTGAATACATCTGATCAATAAATCCACAGAGATAGATGGATGGCGCTTTAGTTATTCCTGGAAGATAGAAAATGTAAGTACGATAAAGATAATGCAGTACCCCCTTTCCGTTCACTCACCGACTTCAGGAAATAAGCTCTTAACAAGCCTTCAACCGGAAAGTGGAAGTCAAAACAAAACTCTCGTAATAATCGACTTACCAACAAAATTAACTAAAATTTGCGCTAGCTTCAAAGCCTTAAGCAAGTTAAATTTTGAATGTAAAATTTTACTGCTCAAAATAACAATACCTCTTCAAGTCCAACACAATAAGGGAAACCCAATTCATTGCGAAAGACAGGTTTACAACTTTTTGAATACTTTAATTAATAACTGAAGATTGACTGATACTAATCCAAACTTCGGTCTTTAAAAGCCGATAGGTTTCTTGGATGTGAAAGACGTTTTAAAAAAAATACCTAAGCGAAGAAATGATGAAGATTTTGTCCGCAACCTTCCATAGTCCAGCGAGTTAAACCAAACTTTAATTTTTTCGTTTGCACTTTTTAACCTTAGAAGCGAAGAATAATACTGAAATGACTTAATAATGAGGATAGTCAGCTTAAAATAACAACACACCGGACGATAATAATCAGGAGGCGGTACTCAAAAAGTGAAAGTCACTCACCACTGGCTAAAAAAGGAAAAAAATTTTGGCTAAAATAAGTACCACAACGACAAAAAAAAAAACGAACTTGACCGCTAATTATAAGCAACTGCACATCGAGTAAAATACACAAAATGCAAATTTCTGAAGTTATTAGCCCAACCAGTTCAGAAAAATAACTGTGCTGTAATTGACCTCGAAGATTTTCCTTATGATTATTAAGATCTGATATCAGCTGCATAATCCGTTCTTCTAAGTCCCAACCTTCTGAAGAAAGAAAATTTAGTTAGAAGGAATACTAGTAATCGATGACCTCACTGTGCAACTTAAGCAATACTAGTAATCGAAGACCTCACTGTGCAAATTAAATTTCATAACTCAATATGCTGCTAGATTAAAAACAAGTGTGCGTAAGCATGATTGGTAAGCGACAGCGTGAAAAAAATTCTTTTCAGGAATTAAACTGCAAATGAGAGTGATAAAACAAGGTATAATGAGTACCTAAAGCTATCAAAACGTCATAAACTTTAATCAGAGTAATCCTTGCACTGATAAAATCCACCAAAACATTCCTTATGTCTATTGGGCACGGTACAGAGCCACTAGAATCGTATTCAGCTGTTATGCCAGATACCTTTGTTCTAAAAATATGACAAATATTGTGTCCATTTCAACCTCTGAAAGTAAATCAAAGTTGTTATACAAATTTAACCGGAACCTAACTTACACCTGCCACAAACAGTTGACTTCCAAAGGGGTACTTAAATAATTCCCTAGCAGACAAGTAAACTCACCTCGTCTGTTCATACAAAGTTAGTAAATCTGCATCCTTTCGAGCATGACTTCTTACCCGTACAAAACTAAAGGAGTAGTAATGCTGCTCCAAACCGCTCAACTGAATAAGGTAATTTCTTAAAAACAACACAGATAAAAAGCAAAAGAAGCACTGTTTTTGAACCAGGCTTCCTTTTAATCCTTTGTGAGAGGATCGACCAAGTTGGGAGATGCTGACAGAAATTCAAGAAACCCACTGAATGACTGGAGAGCTATATGAAAGGAGAAATTTAAACAAACCGAGATACACACGGAAACCAAGATCTGACAAGCAGAATCTGTCACGTCGGGTTTTTGCCGTTTATGCTTTCCACGAAAAGACGTCATAATCTCGTTCGCTGCCTCGTAACGCAGTTTACTAAGGGATTTAGAATACCTCTTCAAAAAA